TGCGGAGTTTACAATGCCACGGTGAGAGCGGTCCTGCTCTATGGCTGCCAGGCGGTCTGTTCGCGCAAAAGATCTTGAGGCCATCTGTTTTTGATCACCGCTACCTTCGGAGCATTGCTTATGTACGATGGCAACATCACACTAGTTATGAGGACGTTCGACGGAGGATTTTCAGATCAGACAGACCTTGCCGGCCACTGAGCAGCATACTTTCACCTCGCAAACTTCGGTGGCTTGGGCATGTGCTTCGCATGCCTACTCATCGTTTACCTTACCGTGTCCACTTCGCGCGCACAAAACTCGGTTGGAAGAGAAAGCAAGGTGGCCAATGTATAACTTGGGCCAGAAACATGAAAGAGCTAACCCTGGTCGGGCGCTTTCGACTCCCTGCCTGGGAGCGCAAGGATCACAAACAGACGGCTGGAAACCTTATTGGATACGGCAAGCAATCGTGTACATTGGTGGATATGACACTCTACTCCCGTGAACACTGTTTTATATACGTTCACTCTTCGTTATTTCTTGTATTTCCCCACACGTTGTGCCACTATGCCAATTGTACTATTGCCTATAAATATGTATGGCGGGAGAGCCTATGGTGCGCTGAGGCTGGTGGTGACTAGATGCTGGCAGATGATCTACCCACTGCTGCTACTGTTGTGCCATTTGCTCATGTCATGGGCGCCCCCTCGTGGCGACCGCTGGGTGGGAGTTGGGTTTCGCCCTTCTCCCTGCTAAGATCCAGGACACCAATCCGCATGAGTCAGTGAACTGACCATGTGCTAGACCCGCTGCCTTCGGGTGTACATTTAATCGAAGGCTTTGTCTGAGGACCCGAGGCGTTCTCCTGTCAGGTGTGGGCGCCCTGCCAGTATCCTAGTCCATCCTCTTCGGAGGTTAGGAAGCGGTCGATGGCCCTCTTCCCGTAAAACCCAGCCATGGTAAACAACAGGCCTACGGGTTATAAGCTCACAGTTCGATTGGCGTAGAGCACGAGCGCCACGCATTGTCTCTGACGGTGTCTCCGGGTGTTCAATGGTTTGCTACTGCACGCCTCAATCCAGGCAGCCCCTGGTCAAATCGGTGCAAACCCGCCAAAACCCATCTGCATCTGGCCGTGGTCGCAGATGTATCCTATTGCGGTCGCAAAACATATAAATCGTTCCAGCACCTCCAAGGCTGCGTGTGACGGCCGTCAAGCAGATCCCAATCTGTCTCTGCAATCACATTCTCGAGCTGGATCTGCTCCGCACTGCCTTGTGGGTCAAGCTATTGAGCCGAAGGCTCCGGGTGGAATTTCTCAAGCAAGCCTCCAAACCACCCACTGCCTTGTGGGTCAGGCTATTGAGCCAAAGGCTCCGGGTGGAATCCCTCAAGCAAGCCTCCGAAGCACAACGACCATCTCGCGTGCGATTGCCCACCAATGCAATTCTATGCCTGCGCGCAAAGCACTCAGCATCGGGTGCTGGAACGTGCGCACACTACTGGACCGGAACTCCAGCGATCGCCCGGAGCGGCGCACTGCACTCGTCCCAATGGAGCTGGCGCGCTACCACATCGATATTGCGGCGCTCAGTGAAACCCGGCTCGTTGGGTAAGTTGCATGAAGCAGGTGCTGGCTACACATTTTACTGGGTGGGAAACGCCGCCTCAGCATCACATGATCATGGGGTCGGATTTGCAATATTCGATCGCCACCATGGCCAGCTGATGGGATAACCAACGGGCATCAGCGCGCGACTGATGACTCTTCGCCTACGACTCGGAAGAGGTAAGTTTGCTACTTTTATAAGCACGTACGGTCCGACCATGTGTTATCCTGATGACACTCGTGATCAATTCTACACTCAGCTATCCTCCGTGATACGGTCTGTGCCGAGGAGTGACCAACTATTTCTGCTGGGTGATTTCAACGCGCGCCTTGAGCGTGATGCATCAGTGTGGGCAGGTGTTATCGGTCTGCATGGCATTGGTTCAGCGAATGCGAACGGTGACAGGCTGCTCTCACTGTGTGCCACTCGGCCTGGCGATCACGAACACTCGGTTTGCACTGAATGTGAGTGGTTTAGCAACTCGGGCACAGACGGAGTGGTCACGCTCACCTGTTCGACTATGTCACCCTACATCAGCGTGAAGTGCGCATGACATGTGTAATGCGTGGAGCTGAGTGTGGCACTGATCACAAATTGGTGCGGACCAAACTGTACATATATTTTCGTAACTCTGTGTATTGCACTCCCGCCGTGAATCGGCGTAAATTTAACATTGACTCCTTCGGTACTGTGGCGAAAGGTACTGACCTGGAGAAGGCGATGGCTGCACGCCTGTGAGGTGGATTACAAAGCCACAGTGGGTGACCTGTGGCACCGTATTCGCGACCAGGTGACAGCTGCTGCCGAGGAGACCATCGGACGCGCATACTATAAGTGGCCTGATTGGTTTGATGAAAACAATGCGACGATTGGCGCATTGGTGTCGGAGAAGAATGCAGCATTTACTGCACATGTGGCAGACCCCAGGGACTTGGGGAAGAATAGTCAGTTTCGCAAACTTCGACGGCGACTGACCCGAGAGCTCCGTCGCATTAAAAATCCATGGCGGACTGAGAAGGTAAGGCAGATGGAATGCTACGCCGAACGCCGCCAACACAAGGAATTCTTTGACTCCTTGAAGTGGGTGTATGGACCGAGATTGGAGCCGCTGAGGACGCTGATCGATGGTTGTTCAGGCGCTACCTGCACACAGACTGCAGACATAATGCAGATCTGGCAAAAACACTTTGACTGTCTCTTGAACAACCGTTCAGAGATCGACTGGCCTACATTGAACGGTCTCAAGCAGCACGATGTGAAGACGAGTCTGGCGGACACGCCAACACTGGATGAGACGCAGAGAGCACTTGCTCAGCTGCGAAACGGTAAGTGTGCCGGAGCCGACGGAATTCCGCCTTAAGTATTGAAACACGGCGGACCCGCGTTGTTGACTGCGCTGCACCACTTGGTGCAACGTGTATGGATTGAGGAGGAGGTGCCTCCTGAGCTGGAGGATGCCCTTGTGCTACCACTGTACAAGGGTAAAGGGAGCAAGCAATGTTGCACGAATTATCGTGGCATCAACTTGCTGAGTTGTGTGGGCAAGATGATTGCCCGAATCCTGCTCAACCACCTCGTCAGTCAGGTTGTGGAATCTAACGTGGCGGAAGAGTAATGTGGATTCCGTTCGGGTCGCAGCACTATAGATATGGTGTTTGCGGCTCCACAGTTGCAGTAGAAATGCAGAGAATGACACCAGCCATTGTACTCGCTTTTTGTTGATTTCACCAAGGCATTTGGTACGGTGAACCGCGAGGCATTGTGGCTGGTGTTGGGTAAGTTTGGTTGCCCGCGTAAGTTTGTAAGTTTAATTGAATGTCTGCATAGTGGTATGCGAGCGAGGGTGCAGCTGAGTGCAAAGACCTCGGGTGACTTTGCAGTTGTCTCTGGTGTGAAGCAAGACTGTGTCTTAGCTTATGCTTCATGCAATGATGTGGTAAACGTGGGGTAAACTTGCGTAATTGTATTGCGTGTTATTTTTTAGATAACTCGGACATTTTGTACTTACCACGGATTCACTTATAGCCAATTTCTTCTATATGCTCATTTAGTGAGTATTTATGTCGTCATATGCGTTTACTTTATTTGATATCAGCATTTTGAGTGATTGGCTGTTGTTTGACATCCCTGTTGTTGCTGCGCTTGATGTGCATGTTGACAAGGTGCCTACCTGTCTAGTACCCACTACCTCATCCATACTGGCTCCAGGAGACACTTGGTCGTTGCTGGAGAGGATGGGTTGCACAGTCCTTGTGGTCGTGCTAGGCTCGAAGAGTGGTTCCATGCACTCAGTGTGGAGCGGACTACGGTCCAGCCACCACCTTGTGTGCACTTGATTCCCAACTACAGCGTGCTTGTGTTTGCCTGTGAAGGAGTGTGGGCCGGCTCCGTTGATGAAATGTGGCTCCCATCCACATGCCTCCTGGTCTTATTCCTTCGGGTTTACACTGGATATGAGGTGTGTGGGTGGTGCAGCGCAAGACACCCATGGTCCCTTTGTAGGCGCAAGCGTGCTGTGGCTGACCACAGTGACAGGCAAATCCGAAACCGGATGTCGCCAAACAAACATATATATATATATATATATATATATATATATATATATATATCCTTACCGATTGTTGGTGTTTGCGCGGTATCGAAGCGTCGATACTGCCTACCGGCGTACTGCTTATGACCCCGGCTTCTATCTTGCATCATTACGTTTCCACGGCGCGTCCGTGCTCCTGCATGAGTTCTGGGGAGCTTGCTCTATCCAACCCTGTGTACATCTACTTGCGGTTTTGCATGGCATTGAGCCATAAGTACAAGGTAATATTGTACTGCAAATACCTTTTTCTAGCTATTCAACCAAGAGCTGCCTTGCCTTGCCTTTTTGGGACTCTATTTTGACTAAATTACCAGATAAATTGCCATCTATAACACCAGTCTGAGGGATACAATTGCTTTTAATGATTCATCTACTGGCCAGTACAATCATATAAGGTTAAATTACAAGGGATGCTCGCCACTGCCTAGGCCATTGCGATCTGCATATTCCAGCCGCCACTGTATTCACATAAAAAACTTTGTTCAAATTCTATTCTATATCTTACCTGGCCGAACAGTCACCCTGACATCGGCTCACGCATTGTGAGTACGTAACCCACAACCAATCTGTGTGAATGAGACAGCGGCCAACTATTTGCTATCTAACCGTTGACCGAGGCATTTCAGAACAAACCACCAAACCAATCACTATCCATCCCTTCCTAGTTTAACCCTATATGATTGTACCGGCCCGTAGATGAATCATTGAAAACAATTGTTTGCCTCAGACTGGTGTTCTTGATGAATCACTGAGAATGTTCCACATGTTAAAATTGCCATCTCTATCTTTGTTTCAAATTGTAGTGTTCCCGTTTTATCATGGCCAGAATCCACCCTGGACAGAGCTATCTGCTAAGTTACAATAATCTACAGTTGTTGGGGTTTGGTTTGTTCTTGGCTATCAAAGTTTTAGTTGGTCTTATATCCTCTACTGCTATATCAGTGAATCATGTGCATCAGGGAATTGGCTTGTCTGTAGCGCTCATGTAGAGTTTCTGCTCCGTGTATTTCAAACTCTCGGACTGATCGAGGTAACGCTTTTGCTCCAACATTACAATTTCTTAGATACTGCATGCGAGTGTTCGGCTAGTCAATTCTTCACCGTTTACAGTCGGTATACAACTGTTTTCCAGAGTGTTCGTGATTTGGGGCATTCTCTTCTTAGTACCGAATGTAAGTTAGGTTATTCGAGAGCGTACTCCTTCACTTTTCAGTCAAAGCATCAAACGATAGCCGTACCTCTTACGATCCTATCTTGGTGCTGTGCGGAGATAATTCGTTACTTGTTCTACGCCCTCAACATATGCAATCTTGTTTTTTATCCAGTTAAACTCCTCAGGTAAGGTGCACTTTTCACCACAGTCATACTGTTTGTTTTAGGTATTCGGGCTTCATGCTACTATACCCAACTGGAATAAGCGTAAGCCCAGCATTGGTTCTTTTTGGTTTTCATCATAGCTTTTTCCAAAGACCATTAATCTTCCACTTTATTCACTTCTGTTGCATCATATTGATTATGATTGGCTACCACCTCCGCGTTTCATGTAGCTATCTAGGTATCATAAGCTTATGCTATACCACTCACACGTTAAGTGCACATCTGAGAGATCACAGGCGATAGATGTAGGATACACTGAGTGTTTTTGGACCGTCCGGTACCCTTTCAAAACCCATAACCCATGGACTGCACGCTCCATGTGCGCCATGTAAGTGTGCGCCTCTTTTTAGTCGCCCATTCGTAAACGTGAATTCAAAGATTGGAAACGTGCGTCCCATGATTACACAATGCAATTTCATGCGGAGGCCACCGCATAGGTGTAAGCGACTTCGCGATATACCCATCCTGCACGCGACTGGTGGTGGTCGCGTGGCAGCGAAGCGTCGGTGCGATGTGCCGACGTACTGATTGTGCATGCTGTTGCTGCTTTCGGTATTTGGGCCACATTACGCATGACACTCTCAGGTGTACCCTGTCCATGGTGCTAATGAACGCATCACGCTTATTCAGCCATGCCATCATGCGGGCATCAACGTCAAAGTTGCAGCAACACCCATTCAGGTATCTGAGTGTGGTTTACAAACAGGTGTGAAGTCAGTAGTGACCACCGCATATAGCGCAACGGTCATGCACTATATATCAGATACGCAGATAAACGGTCAACCAAAGGTGAACGGAAGAACAAGCAAAATAAGCTAGAAAAAGGTTTCTTAATAGGGCATTAAACTAACAAAGGCTATAAGTAAGACGTTGGAAAGTGAGCTATGGACGGGTCTTGAGTGCGAAGATGGCAGTCTATAGCAGCTGACGTCCGAGTAAAAGGCGCTAGCAGTACGCCAGTACGCAGTGCTGATGCTTCACTGCCGCGCAACCACCACTAGTCGCAGGTAGGCTAAGGATACTGCCAGGGTCGCCCGGTCTCCTATGCCGGCTCCAATCCGCGCCCTCGGTTTACTAGGCAGGCTTATGATCCTTGCGCTACGGGCCAGCAAACAAACATGAGTAACATGCGAACAAACTGCCTAATTTTCTAAAACTTAAGAAAACTAATTTTAAAATATTTTACACTGTCAAATGAGGGAATCTTTAGGTCACTACACAGTCCCCCTTCTTAGAAGGGAAACCGTAAGGACTGTCCGTCGCCAGTTAGCCTTTTCTAAACAGGTGGTAAAGCCTGATGCAGCTGCTGGAGGAGCACCAATGCGATCGGACCCTAGCGGGCTCCCACCATATCCTCTTTAACGGTACCAAAAACACGAAATTGGGGAAAGCTTCTTAAAGGTCAAATGTTCGCTTTCTGTTGGTCATCATCCCCTGTTTGCATATGAAAAGCAAACAGAAACGTGCGCAGTGACAGTGGTGGCGATGTCAAAAACGGTAACGGCACATACCGAATAAGGTAGGGTGCTCCCAAAAAGCAACTCTTCATACGTTTGAAAACCTTTACTTCATTTTGTTAGGATTTTCAAAAGGCTTTGTGTTTTCGAGTTCTCAAATCTGTTTGCCGTTTTTGTACTTACGGGATTAGTCAGAAGGGAAAAGAAAGGTGGAAGATAAACAAATTTTTTCAACGCGCTGGCCAGGAAATTCGCTTACCCGACCTGGTCGACTTTTGCGGCTGATGTGCCGTTCAACTCGATGTAATTCGGCGGAGCTAAGTTGGTAGGCTCAGACATAGAGTTCTCTATGGAGTCATTGCCGTTTGATGTAAACGCCTCCATCATGATTTGGGTTCATTCGCCGGCAGAAGATGGATAGACGTCTTCATCGATCCCAGATTCCATGTGAACAACATAGTGATGGCTTCTCGTTTACCGTGACGTTCAATGATAAAAACACGGGTTTTACGCTGTATAACCTTGAAAGGACATTCGTGTGATTGTTCCAGTGGTCTGCGTAGTCCATCGTGTTATAATCGCAGTTAATGGGGCGTTGAACCGTCAGAACAAAGACTTTCATCGCACCGAACAGTGTATTGACCAGCTCTCAAGTCACATGAAACGCAAGACAGCTGGCAATATAGGATAAGGTGAGAGTGCGTGTCAGACAGGCGGCGGCCTGATGTATATGAATCACAATAGACCAGCGGATGAGAGTGAAGTTCACGGTCAGGTGTGTGGGACGACACGCTACACTTTTAAGGCACCGGTTCGCTTGGTGCAGCATCTCCCCCTTTGAAAACATTCTCTAGACTTATACGAATGAAGTGCTGGGTTCACTTGTAAAGTCGGATCGGTTTAGTTGTCCGCATAGATCTCCGAATGACACCGTGGCATAGCTCTGTGCACGTTTCCGTCGGCTCACTAAGCCCCACAATTTCTGGTGGTTCAAACGTGTCCAGCAGTATATCGAACGGCAACTCGAAAGTCTAAGTGATTGTGTGTTCGATCGGTCGTTTGCTTAACTGATTAACATGTCCTACGAGAGACAACGGTCCGATAGACACCTCGTACAGCACGGTGTCTATTCTTTTTCGTACCACTGCAGACTGCCAGGTTTGATGGTTCGGCGTTGTATCTAACGCGTACACCGGCTCCCCTGGTAGAAACCTTCTGCTCACGTCTGACGCGAGTGGCCGTTGCGTAACCTTGGCGCGTATTGCATCAATTGGAAGACGTGTCTCACGCCCGAACATGGCTTCCGCTGCGGATCTGCCGCCTGGTACAACTGAGTTATGCGTAGCCCGATAAATTAATAGGAATAGCTGTATGATCTCTGTCGGCCCTTCCCCCGCCGTTTTAGAATTGAACGTTTGTAGGTATCTACGTATCTTTCTGCTTGCTCGTTGGACTGTGGATGCCCCGGAGGCGACCGACAGTGCTTGATACCATTACGCTGTCAGAAAAACACCAAAATCGTCGGAGATAAGTTGCGAACCGTTATTGGAAACCAAGTTGTTCGGTGAACCGAACTATGCAAACAAGTTTTCGTACTGTGGCGGCTGTCATGGTTGTGTTCATCTCGTTTACGGACGGCCACTTGGTATACGCATCAACCACAATCGAAAAACACTGGCCTTGCACTGGACCAGCGAGGTCAACGTGGATTCTCTCCCATCCAAGGTTGGATGATTTTGCTTGGAAGTTTCGCTGCTGATGCACTATTGCTACATGTGCCAACACAATCATGGATAGCTTTGTCAATAAAAGGTCAGTACACGTAACTTCTGGTTAAAGCATTCATCCGTCATCTTCCGGCGTGATGTAGGTGCAAATATCCTAATACATCTGCCTGCAGGAACTTCGGAACAACCACGCGCTCACTGAACATAACACAATCATCAACCAGTGCTAACGAGTCACGTCGACGAAAAAGGTGTGTATCAGTGACCCGGTCTGGCCACTGTGTTTGTAAAACAAATAACCTTTTGCAAAAGAGGGTCGAATTTGGTGTGCTCCTGAATGTTCACAGAAGTAATCACTAGAGCTGTGATTGAATTACCCAGAAGCTGTTTCACGTCCCATTTCAGGCGCAACTGACGTGTTCACCTGGTCTTCTATGCTCGACTGTTTTGCGATAAGTCGACACTGCTCATCGGCGTGGCTGAAATACGCCGTAGGCATGTGAGCTACTGTAAAATAATATCCGAGCAACAGTGTCGCCCAGCGTTGGAGGTGATTCGCCGTGTACACAGATATACCCTTCTTTGGACCGAAAATGGCTAATAATGGTTTATGGTCAGTCTCCAATATGTATTCTGTACCCTGCAGCATCCGATGAAAATGGAGTGTGCACTAGTGATTTAAATGAAGCTTGGTGGACAAGTGGGGCTCAGGAAATGGAGCAGACAGGAGCAGTAGGCAATTACCGCAAGCTCTTCCAGCTAATCCGCACCACTGGTCCCAGAAAACTAGGCGTCAGTAAGACAGAGGTAGCGCGGGTGCGCCGATACACAATAAGCAGCGCCGTATGGCTCGTTGGGCGGAACACTTTCATGATCAGTTCAGCTGGCCCCCTGCTCCCGGACATCTTCCTACTCAGGTGATGCAGGACGAGCCATGGACGATTAGTTTAGAGTCTCCGTCAGAGGCCGAGGCCCAAAACGCGATCACAGCCCTTAATCGTTTTCGTGCCGCTGGCCCGGGTTCCCTCCTACCTGCACTATTTAAGGATGGATGTGAGGTCCTCTGTAAAGCACTAACCTCCCTATACGAACGCATCTGGAAGGAAGTGTCCCGGCTGATTGGACCGAATCGATTATAGTGGTAATATACACAAAGGGCAGTCGCACAGACTGTGCTAATCACAGGTGTATTAGCCTAACGCCAGTTGCGCCTCGATTATCGTGCGTCGCCTCATTGTGGAACGGGATTCTCGGATTAGGGAAGAGCAGGCAGGTTTCCGCCCAGGACGTGGCTGTATAGACCATATATTCACGTTGCAGCAGGTGCTAGAGCAGCGCCACGCATACCGCAGACCGACAATAGCTGTGCTCCTCGATTTCAAGAGTGCGTTCGATTCAGTTGATCGATCGATTCTGTTCGAAATACTTGCGCGGATAGGTGTTCCCACGAAATATGTGAATATCCTTCGTGCTGCATACTCGAACACCACAGGCCGCGTCAGGGTCTATGGTGCCCTATCGGATAGCTTTCCGACTACAAGTGGCGTTCGTCAGGGTTATCCGATTTCCCCATTTTTGTTCAATTTCGTCGTGGATTCTATCATGGTGTGTTCCCTTGCGGAATCTCACGATGTAGGCGTTGAAGTGCTGCCTGGTGTAAGATTAGTTGATCTTGATTATGCGGACGATATCGTCTTGCTTTTCGACGATGTTGGGGCGGCCCAATCAACCCTGAATAGCCTATCCAGAGTGGTCCCATTATTTGGTATGCACTTCGCACTTTCAAAGTGCAAAGTGTTGCTGCAGGATCACCAGCCACTTGATGACCCCATGACGCTAGCTAACGAGGAACTCGATGTGGTTGATCATTTCACTTATCTTGGCAGCTGCATCAGCAATGATGTGCGCATAGAAACTGACGTCAGCTCACGGATTGCTAAAGCCAGAGCTACGTTCTTGAACCTGCGGCATCTTTGGCGACAGAAG